TTTATGGTTAAAAATAGAACAATAAAACTTGTTTTATTCCATTCCCCTAAATCTATTTCTTTCCACCTACTCTCACCCTAATATGATTGGTGGAGCATAAGAATAAAAGGGCAAGAACAAATTACAAGCCTAAATTACATAATCTCCTTGTAAATTAGTCCCATAATGACCATGGGCCATTACAAAAAAAAGATATTCGGGAGACAAACTTTGGAAATACTGTAAAATAAAATGTCTTTTTAAAAAATAGATGTACACAAAAATGTGAACAACAAAACTCTTATCAATCAGTTTTTTTCTCTATAACATGCTGAACCTATTACTGATTTATATCTAAGCAAAGAATTTCTACAACATTCTAATATACTTCTACTTCATCAGGTAAATTGTCATATTGTTACAAATAATGGATTTCTACAATAATGTATTAGGCTGAACCACACAAAATTACCATTTTTGTAGTTCAAAAATGACCAGATAGTGGTACCAAATTTGTAGGCCAAAAATGGTTGGATATTGGCAATTTCATATGGCTTAAATTTTATTATTATCTGACTGATTTTTCCCCCATTTTCTCGTGACTTTAGAAATATATCAGAATACTCATCAGGAAAGCAAAACCTTTCAGGTTTGCTTAAGTTTAGAGCAAAAATAATTAATAATTACAATTTTTCAGTTGGAACTAAATTTTTTGCATGAGTATTTTTACCCTTCCCTTTTTATGAGCTCCATGTACTGCATTACATTTCAAGTGGCATCATATGAGAACACATTTTTGAAGAATGGAACCCAATCTTCTGGTTTCTGCTACATATGAATAATCTTAAAATACACAGCTGAAAGAAGCCAAACTTCCCTGCTATTATTCTTTTCCTAGCACTAATCCGCAAATTAGAAATAATCCACTAATTCTTTCTTCCTTTCACATCCTTGAATCTGAGTGGCCTGGTTGGATAATTCAAAAGGAAGAGGATACCCTGGATCTAACCGCTGACCTCAAATCCCAAACATCTGAAAAAGGGCTTAAAGAGTATTTTTCATCTCATAAATCTCTGGGGCTCTTGTATCTTGATAAATGCAAAGCAACCTTTATAAACTAGATTACATGTAGAAACTAATATCCAAACTCTTTCACTATGACTTCAATTCTCCTTTTTAGTTGTACAGGATGTACATGAAGCAACAAATCTTCCAGATGCAGAAGGGAGAAAACTTTCCTTTGGTTCCCTTCTATATCCTCTAACATTCTATCCCTTTCCTGATTTGTATCTGATCAGCAAAGCTGTGGAAACATTAAGTCTGTAAGGAGAGCTTGCACATAGAAAACCTATGCCAATTTTAAAAATCATACCCAACTGGAGAATAATGGTGTAAATCTTCATCCTTTAAAGGAAATTCTATAACAGATTAAAATAATTAGCATCATATATTCACAAATAGCAATTCAAGTAACTCACTACTTGTTATCAATATATTTGGAAAGAAGGGATATTATTTTATGCACGATAAGGGTATAGACCAAATAAACTCTTCTCCAAATTAGAGTAACTAAAAAATGTCGATGAACATTTATAATACTGTAGACCTTTTAGGATTTCAGCTCTAAATAAACTGATATGACTCATCTGGACAGAGGTTTTGGCAGAAGTGGGATTGTCTAGTATGTACAACACTGATTAAAAACATTCTAAATCATGATGTATCTATGCTTACATCATTGCCAAAATGATTCATCTGTGTAGGATATATTCTTATTGCCAGAACTGTCACATATCATCTTGGCTAGAAACACACAGTCACATCCCATTATGGTGAACTCTTAAGAGTTTATCCAAATTCTTTCCTCTTCTGGAATTTTGTCAGGTTAATACTGCTTCACACGTGATCTTAAATTTTTCCATTCTAAATCTAGTGTCATTTTGGCATTTGGCTGGATTTGGCCTATGTGACCAGAATCACACTGACAATGTTCAGTTTGTTGAATTTTAAATCTATGATGTTTATCACATTGTAGACCTACTGACAGCCAAGGAAATGTCTGTTTGAGACTTTTTCTAAGATACTTTACCTTTTAAATGAGGCTTTTTGATTTGATATTGTATTTATATAACATACTAAATCAAGTTTTGCTTAAATCTACTTAGGTTAAGCATAGCCATTTTAAGCTATAGACAGGAAAATTTAAATACCGAACAGTTTTTTGTAGTGCCAAAACCCTTAGCACTGAATTTCTTCTTAGTCATTTGAAATATTTACTGGTATTTTAGGAATGGTCATCAAAAAAACCCAGAATTAAGCGATGGCCTTGAATGCAACATTTATGAAGCAGCTCTTGCTTATATTTCATTTTATAAACTCTTAAAAATGAAGAGTTTATCTGAGAAATACAGGAGGGCGACCATCCTAAATCCAGGCACTGTTAGCTTTATGAGCATATTAAGCACCCATTACATCGTGCAAAGTATTTATTGCAAATGGGCCTTAGCTACTAAAACATGTAGCTTCCTTTCATGTTATGACTAAGTAATTTGAGAACGCTTTGGGCTGAGAATGTACAGAAAGGTTGCACACTGATTGTCAGCAGGGAAAACTGCCATCAAATCAATACACATAACATTCCTCACAAATTGCAAACAAGGGCTTATTGGGCACCTGTGGTGCATGGTCTCTTTCACTGCAAATGCCAGATTTTTTCTGAATTGAACTCTGATGTAAAGTTCAGTGATACTCAGTCTGTGGATCTGTGGCATTACTATTTCTGGATTTGTTTTTTAAAGACACTTCCCTGCTAACAGCATCTTTCCATCCTACCATCTCTTACATCCCTGCACCAATACTATCTGCCATAGTCTGTTTTGTGTTGACTTTCCCTTACAATATTTAAAACCTCTTTAAAAAGTACAAAAAAGTAAGTTTTAAGGAATTTTAAATATTTCAATTTACTTTATAAAACTAATTTAAGAAGTTTTGAATATTACAATTTCATTTTTAATAAAATTAAGTTTTGAATACTGCTATTTTACTTTACTTAAAATTAATTTTAAGAAACTTTAAATATTATAATTTTATTTTACTTAGTAAATTAATTTTTCAGAAGTTTTAAATATTCTAACATGCTTTGAGCTCACTGGTAACAACCTGGAATGTCATAAAATCAGCACTGATTGTCCTTTTTCTAGCTCCAGCGTCCTTTTGCCTCACCTTAAGAACCTCACGATCTCCCTTCAGTTCTCCACTCTTTTCTTACTCCTATTTCTCTTCCTCCCACAAAAGCAGCAAGAAAATGAAAAGCTAAAAAACAAATGAAATGAAAACCCTTCCCATAACCCCCAAAACATTCAAGATTGTGACTAATCGTGAGCAAAACATCTTAATTTCAACCTTGATACAGGCCTCTGTGGAAGCTACTAATACTCAGTCCTACTCACTCTTCAAGGAACCACCCTGTATTCCACAGTCAACCCACATGGTCTTGGGGTTATTGTAAAGAGGCAAGTTATGCTGCTTTCTTAATAAACTGAATTCAGGAGGAGGTACAGCAGCCTTCTTCTCTGTTGTTTTCAGCAGTGACAAGTACATTATCAAATTATCAGGCTGCTCAGTCTCCTTACGGTGCCCAGCTTTTCACAAAAGCTACCAGTATATGTTTATTGACTAGGTTTCAATTCCTCAGGCCACAGAGAATCGAGGGCCGAATGTAATTCTGTGTCTTTGCAGCCCCACCAGCCCTGCTTATCATGTGCCCATAACACAGCTGAGATTTCCTGAGGAAATTCTTTTCTACTACTCTAAAACAGGGCATAAGGCACACTAATGAACTCAACAGTGGTTATTTCTTAGTTAACAAAAAAGTGCCACTTCATTTGTCATGTTAACAATGATTCCAAATGACATTTTAATTTTGTTAAAGGAATTGATAAGAAGCTGCTATAGAAAAGGGGGAAAGTGAACCTCTTGAATCCTTGGCCCGCAAGAACCCTGCCATCAGGCTTGCTGGGCATGCCATTTTTGATAACAGATGGACAGGGCAACCGATGTTATGGCCACTATGGCTTTGTTTTGACCATTAATCTCTATCAGGGAGTTCCTGCAGCCCCTATGAGTGAACACACTGGAAGCACGCTGTCACCATCAGCATCGCTTTAAAATATTCTCCTGAGTTCATAGTAAGAATAGGAAAAAAAGTTACTTCCTAATGGTTTCTCACATGTCACTCTCAAAGTTCTTATACATTTATCATGTCCTTTTGTGTGATGCTCACATCCACTCTATTCATAAGGTGGGGAAACTGAGAGTAGCAGACACTCTCAGCATGCCCTCCCATTCCCCATTCTTGAGCTTGCTGAAGGCTTGACTACAAAGTCACCTGAAGGATTTCTCTGGCTGCAGGAGTGTGCTCGGTCTTCCCTGGGAAGTGCTGGGAGTTAACTGGCCTGGGGAGCAGCCCTCAATTAATCACAAGCCATCTGTGGGAAAATAGCCCAAATTCCTCACACCGGGGGAGGACCTCTCTGAAGTGTGTTTTACAAGGTCTCCCAAAGGTCCCCAGCAATGGGCAGAATGTAATATACCTTGGGCTCATTAACATACCTTCAACTGCCTGCCTTCCTGTCTCACTTCCTCACGCCCATACTGGTGCTTCCTGGGCTCACCTTCCAAATACACTACTTGTATCCAAATCTTTGTCTCAGGGCCCTGCTTATGGGGAAGCCCAACCTAAGCCACTGGGACACAGAGAAGATTAATACCTGCTAAACACCACATGGCTGCTCAATGGAGAGTCAGTGCTAGAACCTAGGACTTTGAACTTCTGGCACATTTACCAGATTAGGTTGTTTTTGGCTGATTACCAGCACTTTATAGAGTTGGTCCCAGGACTTTTGGGCAAAATGAAGATACTATAAATGAAACAAAGTTGTTAGATGGCTATTCCTGGCCTTTTAGGAACCCAGTCAACACCACCAGCAGGAGGAAACAGAAAAATGAAGGGTAGTAATTACCTAGCATGATGAAAGGGACTCCCAGGAAGGTGGAATTATATTTCCCACCAGTAAGATTGATGATCCCAGCTGCAGTGAGAGTGGCCAGGCTTATGGTCACCAATCCGAGCAGGCCTAGCCAGGGTTTGCTGCGGACGCAGTCCTGCATAGAGCAGCAAAGGATGGCCATGGTAACCACCAGGATCAGGCTGGTGACCAGGTAACGTTCTGATACGCGGCTGGTCTTCTGGAAATCTTCCCTCAGTGAGGAGGACGTGTAAGGGTACATTTTGACTTTGCTGTTGGATTTCTGAAACAGTCTGACAGTGTCGCAGAAGCTGGACTCCCACCTCTCGGCCACCATGTCATTTAGACTGTTGATTGACTGCAGGTAGTAGGTGAGCTGGATGGCCTCTGCAGATTTCACCCGGTCTTTGCTGTGCACAGTGACGCCCCCAAGCTGGTGCCCATTGTACACAGCCCTCCCGTCCTTTAAGTGAGTGATTGGGTATGTGATAGCAAAATTGGTCCGATTGGTGGCCCGAGCATTCTTTAGCTCTTCCAGGACGTGCACTATGTCATCCACGATGCAAGTCTTATCATTATTCAGGATACATATATGGGCAAACGTGTAATTAAAACCAGGCCTTGGAACCTGGATCTTGGTGACAGCAGCATGCAACTGTGGGGAAAAAAATGACAGTATTTATTAATCAAATATTTCTATTTTTGTTTTTTGGAGAGGGTAGACATTCCATCTGTAAGCTAAACAGTTCAAATTAAATGTTATAAACCTAGATCAGAAATAGGTAGTAGGAATGTGAAACACACATTTGACCAGTGGTTCTCACAATGTGGCCCCTAGAACAACAGCAGCAGCACAACCTGGGAGCTTGTCAGAAATGAAAATTCTTAGCCCCACACGGACCTGGTAACTCAGAATTTCTGGGGTGGAGCCCAGGAATTTGGGTTTTCACAAGCCTTCTTAAGAATTCTGATGCAGCTGACGTTTGAGAAATGCTGCATTAAAGCACCAGTGTTCTTTCCACGTGTTCTTTATTTGTGACCCAATTGGTCTATACTTTTGGGAAATCTTATATAGGTCCCCTGTTCAGTTTCCTTCTTGAAAATGTAACATAAAAAGTGAACTAAGGTGCAATTCCAAATGCAGATATCCTCTGCTGACTCCTCCTCTGATGCTGATTTGCAGGGCAGCTAAATGATCTCTTTATCCAATTAAATCACTCTCTACCATAAAAGACAAGAGGTTTACCTTGAGGGTCCTTGTTTTCTCTGGCTTTCCTCGCCTACATGTATGGGAAGGGAGCTATAACTGTAAGAGCCTGGCTTGGATATATGGGAATCATGCTAAAGCAGAACAATGGGATTTATTCTACACACCTTGCTCCATATTGAATTTGCTGTGCCCAGGTGCTGAATGCTTGTCATCAAAATACGCATGAGAATACAAGCACTAATTTAACTGCCCCTACTACATGCCAGGCACAATTCTAGGCTCTTTATACAGATAAACTTATTTAATCCTTGCAGCAAATTACAAAGTAGGTGTAAGTACTAGCTTCATTTTACAGATGAGGAAATACAGAGAAGTCAAGTCACTTGCCCAATGTCACACACATAGTAATAGGCAGAGCTGGGCTACACCAGGCAGTCTGGCTCCAGAACCTGTGCTCTTGGCCCCTCACCATACACCTCTAGGCATCTGAATGACTAAGGTTCTTGTTAGCAACTAATTTTTGAATTTGTGCTTTTACTGCCCCACCCCTAAAAGTCACCAATGCTCAATTTCAGATATGTACAAGTATGTGTAATCTAGTAAGATAAGAAAACAAGGCAGTTGAGGGTGTGGTTGGACTAAGGGACTTAAATGAGCTATTACCACGTGTCAGGGCTTCACACCTTAAATTCTCTCAACAAGTCACTTTACAGATAAGAAAACTGGGGCTCAGGGAGACCATGTAGGTAGGAGGAAGGGCGGGGCTCATCACTGTCTTTTTAAAAATGGCATCATGGTACTGTTTCAGTGGTAGCTACACAGGTCCTTAGTTTTGACTCACCAGCAGCTTATCCTCATGGTGGCTTTGCTTTCTCTGTATAAAATGTGGCCCGTGTGCAAATTGAGGCCAGTGACAAATATGTAGTTGAGTGTTAAGTAAACTAGTACATCTACGACTGTGCTTAGCACTGAGTGGACTCTCTCAAGAGTATAGATAGCCATTATGACATATCTGATGAATGAAGGACATTTCATCTGTAAAGAAGCTAGAATTTAACATTCAGACAGTTGTTATACTGTAGCTGTGCCACTACAACTCACTACCTTCTCCATGATCCTGATATATTTTCTCTCAAATCTGTTCTAAATAGATTATCTGTTAAGACACTTTGCTGTGCATGTGCTTGGATGAGTGGGATATTATGCTTTTAAAAAAAATGTCTGAGGGGCACCAGCTGTCAAAGTCCTTTCATTAGCACAGAGCATGAGTTGAGAATCCTAATTCTCAGTGGCTCCTTGCCCCACATCTCTTCATGGGTACCAACCCACAGGATCAGAAAACATTTCATTGAATTATGTTTGGCTGAAATAATTTGAATTCCTTTACATAAATATGTAAACACACACACACACACACACACACACACACCCCCCTAGGAGGCTACTTTCACAGCCTAATCATATGCTAAATGTTTGTTTTGATGCTTTGGGATTAATTGTGAGAAAAATGTCTTCAATGATTTTAAGCTGTGAAAGCGCGTTTTTATCAATTCTTCTCGAAGCATGGCCCAGTGAATTTTGATTAAAAGAACTCCTAGTTACAAAATATTTCAAATTATAAAAGGTTATTTTGGAAGAAAGAAGAACTTAGAGGAATTTAAAGACAAGAGAGAGTTTTGATAAGCGTCGAAGAAAGACTTTGGGAAAAGATTCAGAATAGGCTAGAAAAGGAGTGGTATTGAAAGCATGCCTAAGTGTAATATTTAGTGCATTGTTTGTTCCCATGGGCAGTGTAATAAATCTCCCTTAAAGTGATTACTAAATATGTCAAGAGAAAAAGATTGCCAAATAAGATGGTGTTAAGCCACAGGGCTGAACCCAATTATAGCAAGGGGATATTTTCCATCCATTCTCTATGACGACTATGCCCTGCTGGGTGGGGAGTTGTAAACTATTTAGTGATCTTCCAACTCTGCAGATCTACTGCTATGACCCCTAGGACCATACATCGAAGAAAACAGATACCATGTTAACCCACGTACTACAAGACCATAGGAGGGAGTCTTGGAAAATGAGAATCTTAATGAAGTTTGAGAGGGAAGGTTTCTTAACTCAGTTCCAGAGCTGCTGTAAGATGAAACTGCCTTGACGTTCCGATAGAGTGGTGGGTAGAACATGTCACTCTTGCTTCTGAGTGGCAGAGTTCTGCAGAGTGACAAAGCAGCCAGAGAGAGGGTGTTGGCTGACGCCACCCACCCAGCAGGGGGAATCCGTAGGATTCTACTGTGGGATAATAAGGGTTATAACAAGGAGTTGAGACTCCCTTCCATGACTTCTGCAGTGGCTCAGTTCTGATCTTTGGTGCTTATGAATACACATGAAATACAGACACAATCCACTCTTGGAAATCCACATAGCCATGGGCAGATATACTGCACATGCTACCTGAACATCTACCTATACCGAGTTTTAGCGTGTCCTGATTTACTTTCCTAAAAGAACCCCACTCAAGGCAGTAGAAACATTAGTGGATGTTCTAAACTGTAGTACCAGATATATTCACAGGAGGAAAAGGAAGCTAGGGTTTGAAGCTATGCTTCAGATAAACCACAAAATGAACAACTGCAATCCACATAAGCTTGTTATTGAACTAGGTAAGAGACACTCTTCTCAGAAAATAAAAAGAAGGGAAAAATGACACAAACTAATCGTCCTGACCCTTAATGTGGTCTAAATCTGTCGTGTGAAATAACATATAATCCATGTTTCCATAACTATGTATAGATTCTAGATTATTCATTCAACACACATTCAACAAGTACTTATCAAATCTACTATGTTGTCAATAATAGCACTTCCCTGAATTTAGCGTGCTTGCACTCGCAGATGGAAAAAAATCACATGAGATGCAATGTCCAAAACAAAGGGAAAATCCTAACAGTAAACAACGCCAAGTGCTTCGTACTAGTAAAGCTCGATCCAGTGTCAATTTCAATCACAATATTTTTGATTATTAATTGTATTTGCTGCCAAAGAGGCCAAAACTGAATGTTAAATTGAGATTAGTTTTAATCTGAAGCTCTGAACGCATCATGTAAATTATTAGCTTCTTTGCTCTCATCATCCTTCAGGTTAAGAATGATAATGATAATAGTAATTAGTTTTCTAAGTGCTTTCTATACAGTTAAAAAATGTATTTAAAACCAACTCTATGGCAATGGTGACACTATAATCCTCATTTTATAGCTGGTGCAACTAAGGCCTAGTGACTTTGAATAGCTTACCTAAGATGAGCCAGTAAATAAGGACAGACCTGATTCTCAAGTCTCACTTCACAGCAGGACACTTAGCATAGACCAACAAATTCAGCAGTGAGCATGAAGACAACCTGGCGGTGGATAAAGAAATGTCAGCCCACCTGCTTCAAATAACTGGCAGTGGATATGACTGAGCTATGGGATGGCCACAGTTGGAGATCTGGGGTCCAATAAGAGAGATCAGAAATAATCCAAACAGCGAAACTCATGTTCAGACAGCAGCAACGTTACATGACAGTATTAACAGGTAATAAAGGGGATGGGTTTAGAGTTTAACAATTTTTCTTAATGTCCATCCAGCCTCTGATGTTGCTAAATAAAACTTTTCATTGTTCAATTCCCACCTATGAGTCAGAACATGCGGTGTTTGGTTTTTTGTCCTTGCGATAGTTTGCTGAGAAAGATGGTTTCTAGCTGCATCCATGTCCCTACAAAGGACATGAACTCATCCTTTTTAATGGCTGCATAGTATTCCATGGTGTGTAAGTGCCACATTTTCTTGATCTAGTCAGTCATTGATGGACATGTGGGTCGGTTCCAAGTCTTTGCTATTGTGAATAGCGCCGCAATATGAGAACACTTGGACACAGGAAGGGGAACATCACACACCAAGGCCTGTCATGGGGTGGGGTTAGGGGGAGGGATAGCATTAGGAGATATACCTAATGTAAATGACGAGTTAATGGTTGCAGCACACCAACATGGCACATGTATACATATGTAACAAACCTGCACGTTGGGCACATGTACCCTAGAACTTAAAGTATAATAAAAAATTTTACAAAAAACTTTTCAAAGACAGGCTTCCTAAGAAAAGCGGTCCTGGGGCACAGTGGAATCCAGTAATAAGAAGTTTTGGCTTCCAGTGTGGCTTCTGTTACCTACCTTAAGAGTGTCAGAAACCTCAGGAATGCCACTCTGCTTCTTTAAGTCTGAAACTTCAGGTCTCATATTTATCAGTAAAAAAGGGTGTTGCTCTAGCTAATATTTAAGGACAGACCCTTCCAGTTTTAACACTACATAATTCTAAGATGAGTGATATCCACAAACTACATAATCAGACACTAGGTGAGAGAAAGTTAACTTAATAAATATCAATTTAAACATTATTACAGCTACTTGAAGTATGCTTTTCTGACACACAGAAGTTCTTTTTAAGGCAATCAGATCTAATAGATGAAACCCAGAAGGAAAACAGGGTAAAGAAAATAGGTTTACTGGGAGAAAAAAAAAAAAAAAAAGATTTCCCTCTCTGAGTGATTTCTCATTCTGGGGAGGTGCTGGCTCTTATAATCCCCTTCTGCCAGATCCTGGGACAAAGCCAGTGTGGGCTGCTTGGTCACGACAGGCCAGTCTAATTTCCTCTCCCTCTCCTTGGCACACTCAGATCTTCCTCAGAAGACAGCAGGGACACTTTGTAGAGGACAGTACAGAAGGGAGGAAGGATGTATCTGCTCCTGAGTGGTGATTAACACAGGAAAAATACCGGTGGGTTTAGAGGATCTTATACAATACCTTGCAGGGTTTTTTTTTTTTTTTGTATTTGTTTCTTGTTGAAAAGGGAAGAGGGAAGGCAGGAAGGCCACTCTGCCCATGCAGGGCAATTAACACGCTCTGGGAGCAGCCTCAAGCAGTCTCCAAGCAATCTCATCTGTGAGGGAAGACTCGGACTTCGTATGGGTTTCCCATGTCCCAGCAGGATGGAGCTCCAGTTACCTCCAGTGGGAGTTAGCCTGATGATGCCCCCTTTACAGGCTGCCTTCCCTTCCTTGTCTCACGTTTCCACCCCCTTCCCACTTCTTCTACTCCCAAATAAGCTGCATACATTAAAAAATGTAAAAAGGAAGATTATGATTTGACTTCTTAACATACATCATCCGTCCCCAAATATTACCTTCCAAGTGACACTAAATCAAAAGTGCTTAAAAATGCTTTCAAGGAATATCTGTTTTTCACCCCTAAATGAAATGTTCCCTTCGCCGAATCCCTCCAAACTACATGTCTTGATCTGGGTCTATATTCTGCAACTGTAAATGGGTAGGTGCTAACTGGCAAGGTATCCTCACTCAGGACGCAAAAAAACACCTTGAAGTGGATGGATCTGTCTGCTGCAGTTCATAAATTACGCTAGCTCCCTTGGTGTTATGTTCTGTCTTTGCATGATCTCACTCTCACCCACTCTCTTTCCTCTTCTTTTAATAGAAATGCATTACATCAGAACACCAGAAGTCGCAAGTTAGGGATTGTTACCGTGATTCATTTGTAGTGCAGCCAAAAACAAGTTAGTCATCCCTTAATAAGTGAACAGAAATATCATCCTGCCTTTAAAATATTACATTTCCAGAGGACACCAAATTTAAGCTGTGGATATAGCCAAACAAGTGACTATCTATCCACACACTTCCTCTGCACATGTGTGCCTGGTGCCATGCTCACCTGCTCCAGTGACAAAAGACAAATGGTTACCTCTGTCAGTAATGCAATGCCAGTGCAGGTCTGGGAGAGCGGAATACTTCTGTTTTGCTCCTTACTCTACAGGGTGGTAAACACTCTTATTGCGGGTGTTGACACTGAAAAGCAGCCAAGACAGCCCCTATTGTAATTCTCCAAACAAGCTGAGTTTGTCTTTGCAGGCTTGGCTGAAAAAACAAGGCAGCTTTGGATTTGAAGCAGAGAAATCTGAGA